GGTTTAGGAAAATTATGCCACATTGATCTTTCAAGTGAGGACATGTTTGCTATGAAAATCTACAATCAAAATACTGGCCTTTCCCTGGTTTCCCTGGCCAAATTACATGTTGTGAGATCGGGCCTTGTTGGATGTCAGCAAAGATTTAGGCATTTAATATGTTATTTCCTGGTATATAAGAACCCATCTACTTATTCTGTCTATATTTCTGAGATGAGGTATTGTGTACACTATTTACATTATTCGGGCTATTGTCCTCATCTTTGTCGCCAGATTTATTACAACGTTTCGGCCGTTGTACGCTCCGGCCTTCTTCAGGTGGTTGTAATGTCGAACTGAACCCTTTATTTCGCTCGCTGGGGTAGACTGTTCTAGTTCCACGTGCCATGTCTAATGGATGTCAGTTATCAGTTATCTCCTGTATCTATTCCCCTCTCCAAGTTCTCCATCGGCTTAACCGCACTGACATAACGATACAGTCATTTACGGAACAACAACCGTACATGCCAAACATACTTAAATATAATTTCGTAACTCTGTCACAATGACTACTAGTTTCCTTCCTTATCTCTGTCAGATATGTATTTTTATATTTAGAATGAAAAGAGAGAGATGTAGACAGAGACATATATATATATATATATATATATATATCGAAAGTTCTAGAGGAGAGAGAGAGAGAGGGATTTTTCTACACTATTTATATTATTCAGACTATTGTCTTCATCTTTGTCGCCATATTTATTACAACGTTTCGGCCGTTGTACACTCCGTCCTTCTTCAGGTGGTTGAAATGTCGAGCTGAACCCTTGATTTCGCTCACTGGGGTAGACTGTTCTAGTTCCACGTGTCATGTCAGTTATCAGTTATTTCCTTTTAATTCCCCTCTCCAAGTTCTCCACTGCCTTAACCGGGTATTGAAATCACACTCTTTGGGCCCTGTCACTGGATCTAACTAACGCCTTTATCCACTGTGCCATGTTTTCCTCAAGGATAAAATTTACTTGCGTCCTATATCCCAAAGGTATTCCAACGGGCGAAGGAAAAACTGCCGTTTTTTCAGGTGTGCCTGTGGGTGAGGAATTCATAGGTAAAAATAAGAAATGTTATATTAAGTCACTGAAGATCTATGGTATCAGTAATATAATTGATGATACCGAGAATTACATATTTTGCTGTGTCCTTAAAGAGGTTACAAACAGACAAAGGTGGTACTCGAGTGAAGGAACAGCAACCCACGCGTAGATGAAAGAAGAGAGGTTTATCGTAAAAGAGAATACACGACTGAAAGACAGGTAATCGAGTGGCTGGCTAGTTATTCCCGAAGCAAGCCCCCAGGTATATCCTATGCTCACTATATATAGCTACTGATAGAGTCAGTCCGCATATGCGACAGGGAGTGTAGGACATTCCATTACAACATATCTCTAATCATTTCGCCTCAAACAAGGCGATAAAGTCACTAAGACAGAGAAAGAGAATCAGAAGACTTTAGTGAGAAGAAAGGTAAATGAAAGAACAGGTTTTAGGAAGATAGAAGATGGCGATTGACCTTGCATTTAGATTTTCTGCTAAATGCTGTACAACTATATTTCTGTTGCTTCAAGTCTCTTTTCCATCTCTTAGGAGATTGTGCAGAATTCTCTGTCATATAGGAGGACTGATATTTCGTAATAGTCCAGTACTCTTTTCTTTGTTTCTATTAAAGTTTTTCCTAATTTTAAATGCTCTGATTAGCTTTTAGGATTCATCTTTGGCTATCCCAATGCGCCTTCGGATTTCAGTGTCACATTTTCTTTCCTCTCTTTAAACACTTCCCAGATATCTTACTGTTTCTCATTACTTTGCTTAGCTTTTGGAAGGCATATTTCCCTATTCCAATGTGCCTTCGGATTTCAGTGTCACACTTTATTTCTTCTGTTAAAACACTTCCCAGATATCTTACTGTTTCTCAGTACTTTGCTTAGCTTTTGGAAGGCATCTTTCGCTATCCCAATGCGCCTTCGGATTTCAGTGTCACACTTTATTTCTTCTGTTAAAACACTTCCCAGATATCTTAGTGTTTCTTATTACTTTGCTTAGCTTTTGGAAGGCATCTTTCGCTATTCTAATGCGCCTTCAGATTTCAGTGTCACACTTTATTTCTTCTGTTAAAACACTTTCCAGATATCTTACTGTTTCTCAGTACTTTGCTTAGCTTTTGGAAGGCATCTTTCCCTATCCTAATGCGCCTTCGGATTTCAGTGTCACACTTTCTGTAGCACGCTTAAATTCAGGGAAGCAAAAAATTGGAAGGGAGTTCCACAGGCGAGAAGAACGAGAAAAGAAGCTATTAGAATAAAATTCACGGTTGCGTCTAGCTAGTTCAACAGTAAGAGTGTGAGATCTAGTTGCCAATCTAACTGTTCTTTATGTGCCATCTCCCCACCCCCAGGACGTAGGCAATCATGGCTTTCCTCAATTTCCTGTCTTTTATAGCTCTTAATAATTTTTTTTTTGTTATTTCTCCTAAACTCTGTCTCGCCATCCATTTACTCAAGTTGTGCGTTGTTTTCCTCTGTCCCTCTTGCATTCAATCCGTCCCGTGAGTATCAGATTTTTCAAGTCCTCTTTCCTCGTTATATACCCTAGAAATTTCATCTGTCTCTTCCTGGTATTATGTAGAGTTTCCTTTTTGTTTCCATTTTCTCTAAAACCTCGTCGTTGCTCACATATTCAACTCATGGTATTCTCAGAATCATTTCTATCGCTTTAAGTTTCTTCTTCATCTTTGAAGAGACTGTCCAGCATTCACTGCCATATAAGGGGGGGGCATATATCATATAACAGTTCGTAAATCTTTTCTTTATTTCTAATTTATTTTATTTATTTTTTTTATGTTTCTTACTAGTCTGCTTAGTTTCTGGAAAGCATCTTCGGTTATACCAAAGCGCCTTCGGATTTCAGTGTCGCATTTTCTGATATTGCTATTTTTTTAGTTGTTTGATTTTGATATCTCAGTGTCATCTGCGTATCTTATAATGTTAAGATTACGTCCACCGATAATAGATCCTGATAGGGTCTCCGGTTAACTTTGTGTCATTTTAAAAAAAAAAAATAAGCCGAGCTAACTTGCGCGCCTAATAAGAAAGCTCAACGTGACAATCCGAGTTTGGACGGTGAATTAGAAGAGTGAGAAAAAGAGCCACGGTGGGTGAAAAAGACAGGAGAGAACGATTTATGTTCATACGACCATATGTGTCTTAAGTTGTCGTAGTATAATGTTAGAAACGTCGTCTGGCAGATAATTATTGGTGAGTAGTGATTGCAGTGTCGCATATTCTGTAGCAAGCTTAAATCCATGCAGTCAAGGCACCAACGAGGTAAACTCAACAGTGCAGTTGCCATGGAAATATTTGTAGAAAAAAAAAAACAGAGGAAAATCACGTGACGTTGGTGAGAAAGTCACTGATGTCGATATGCAGATGTGATAATATTGGAGCCAATGATGAAATATCTTATTCCTTTCCAAGCGATACTGAAGGCGATGAGGATTTTGTAGGTTTTGTACGAAACTAAATAATAGTGAACATTTTTTGGGTTTTATTTTTTTGTTTTTTTTTTCGTTATTTACGATATTTTCTTATTTTATAGAAACAAAATGGTGGATCTACTATGCCATCAAACACGGTAGCTTTCAAACCGTAATGGCAATTACATTTAGCCCGTTCAAGTATTTTTAAATTTACCATAACGTTCTGTATTTTTACTATGAATTATGTAGAAGTACTTTTCGCTTTCTCATTCTTTGTATAACATTTAATTTCTTTCTTCATGCTATTAATGTTGTTTTTTTTTTTTTTGGTGGTGGTGGTGGTGGGGGGTTGCTACACTTCTCTCTCTTTTTTCCTCTCAGTCACTTTAATGTTATTCACTCACTCTTTGCCTTTCTTTCTTCTTGCTCGTCCTATAATTATGAAGATATGTATCCGTTATTTTTCATTTACTTATTTCCTTTCTTTTTTTTCTTTCTTTCTTACTTTCTTTCTTTCTTTTTTGTTTCTCTCTCTCTCTCTCTCTCTCTCTCTCTCTCTACCTCTCTTAATCTGCCACCTTTGTTGCGTTTCACTCTTTCTTTTTCTCACGTTCGCATCTTTCACTTTTACATTCACTTTGTTCACTCTCCATCAACCCCTCTCACTCTTCTCTCTATCACTCTCTCTCTCTCGATATGTATATATCTTTTTCTCTCTTTCTTTCTTTCTCTTTCACTCTCTCTCTCCCCCTGTCTCTCTGTTTTTCTTTCTCTCTCTCTCTCTCTCTCTCTCTCTCTCTCTCTCTCTCTCTCTCTCTCTTCTTAATCATTCACACGCTCACTTTTCTCCAGCCCTATTTTTTACCCATCTCTTTTCACTGGAATATAAGGACGACCTGTAGCGATAATAATTGTCTACTCCGGGCGATTGTTTGTAAAAGCAAAAATGGAGAAAGTGAAGTGAATAAAAAAAAAATGAAAAAGGGCCAAAGAAAGAAAAACACTTATTTTTCGTTCTTTTCTTTATTCGTTCGTTTATTCAGTCGGTCGCTTTTTCAGCAAAACTATCGCCGAAGGGCCTCACACGCGTCATTTCTTTGCATAACCATCTTCTACCTCTTTTCGCATTTCCGTAGCTGTTTGCGACTAAAAAGAACACGAATTCCATCTTTCTTTGTGGATGAGGACAGAGGCAGTTACCCGCCACTTTGATAACCCGTGCCCTGGTCTTTACATACGGTCCGCTGGATGATTACACCTAGTCAAGACTCAATTAGCCAGATATTGCACAGATAACTACGTATAACTACTTCGCCCCCCGGCTCACGCTCGCTCTCGCGAGATATTATCTTTACTCCGAGATCTTACCCGAGCTTGTTGCAGTAGTAATGGAAATAAATCACATCGGTAATGTGAGTATTAAACAGAGTTAAAGCTTTTAACCGTAATATTGGCAGTAGCTGTGTGGGGAAAGGGGAGAGTATTTATGTTATTTTTTCCTTTCTTTATTTCCTTTTCGCTTTCTTTCCCTTCCTTCTTTATTTTGCCAAGTGTTATCTTTCTTGCTTTTCTTCCCTTTCTTTTCGAATTTTCTACAAATCAGTTTCTACTATTCTCCTTCTTTTTCACTTTTTCTACTTTAATATCGTTTATTCTTTTTTCTTATTTCTTTTGACATTTGTTTCTTGTACGTTTGCTTTTAGTTGCTTTTTAGTTGTGCTGTTAGTTGCAGCAATTTTGATGCATTATTTATCTTTCTTGCTATTACAATTACTTACCACTTATATTACCTATCTATCTATCTATCTATCTATCTATCTATCTATCTATCTATCTATCTATCTATCTATCCCAGTCTATTCGTTATCTATCTATCTATTTATCTATCTATCTATCTATCCCAGTCTATTCGTTATCTATCTATCTATTTATCTATCTATCTATTTATCTATCTATCTATCTATCTATTGCAGTTACTTCGTATCTATCTTTCTATCACTGTTCATATCTATCTCAGTCTGTTCATATCTATCTATCTATCTATCTATCTATCTATCTATCTATCTATCTATCTATCTATTTCCGTTTCTTCGAATCTATCTATCTATCAAAGATATCCATCGCACCCTTTATATGCAAGAAATAAAAGGAGCTGATTTTTAATTTTGGAGAAGTTCATAATTCATATCTATCCTATCTCTGTCTGTCTATACTACTGAGATGATGTATGATCAAGGACGCAGGGCACAGTGGATAAAGGCGTTAGTTCAGTTCGACATTCCAACCACCTGAAGAAGGCCGGAGCGTACAACGGCCGAAACGTTGTAATTAAGATGGCGACAATAGTCCGATAAAGTAAATAGTATCCTATCTCTCAATCTATCTCAGTCAGTCTATCATCCTATCACGGTTAATATTTAACTAGCTAGCTAATCTCAGACTGTTCATATCTATCTATCTATCTATTTCTCTCTCTCTCTCTCTCTCTCTATATATATATATATATATATATATATATACACACACACACAGGGTGCCCATATATATATATATATATATATATATATATATATATATATATATATATATATATATACACATACACACAGGGTGCCCATAAAGTTCGTGTACACTTTAAAAATTTATAACTTTATTTGTATTTTCGGTAGAAATATTCTGTAAAAAATGTTATAAATTGTAATGTACCTAGTTTTAAATATAGCTAAAATAACTAATGTGATTTCAGGCATTACTGTGAATCATTTGGCAAATATTTTCCGGGAACTGCAAAATCGTATTACCCTTTTTATTGCTAATGATGGAGGACATGCGGAAACTTAAATAAAATTACAATAAAACCTTAAAAAATATAGATTTACTTTTCCTAATCCTTTTTACAAATTATTTCTATCGTAAATACAAATAAAATTATAAATTTTTAAAGTGCACACGAACTTTATGGACACCCTATATATATATATATATATATATATATATATATATATATATATATATATATATATATGTCAGTCTATATTTCTATCACAGTTTCTATCTATCTATCTATCTATCTATCTATCTACCTATTACAGTTCATATCTATCTTTTTATCATAGTTCATATCACAGTCTTTCTAAACTAACTTACTAACAGTTTCACTGTATGCCTGTACATGTCGTTTTGTCCAGCATATACGATCTATAGACGTGTGTGAGTGTGCACGTGTGTGCATGTTTGTCCAACATTGACAGTCTGTTGGCGGGTCGGTGTGGCTCTGCTTTCCCAACATAAAAGCTCTATAGATATATGTATATGTTTGTGTGTCTGTCCAACATATACGAACTATAGATACGTGTATATTTGCCTGTGTGTCTCTGTTTGCACAATGTGTATAGCCTGTAGATGCGTCTGTGTGTGTATCCGTTCAACATAGACTGTATAGCGATGTGTTTGTAAGTGTGGCTGTGTTTCTGTTTGTCAAGCATATATAGTCTCTAGGTGTGTCTGTTTGCCCAACATGTACGTTCTGTCGATGTGTGTGTATCTGTGTTATATACGGTGTATATAGGTGTCTCTGTCTTTGTGTATGTTTGCGTGTGTCTTGCGTGTTTTTTTGTCACCCGTGTGTCTTAACATTACTGCAAAATTTTAAAATCTGTTCTATACTTTCTGCAATATGTTTCCATTCCAGATTCTACAAACTGTTTTCCAATGCAAGTCCTAGAGGGCATATGAATTTGAAATTAGCTTCCCCATGGAAACACATGCAGACGTATCCGATCATGCGACCGAACGAATGGAACCTGTAGGTCTAAGAGAGAACCACCCTCTTCAGACCTAATAGACAGACGCTACAGAATCACAAAGACAAAACTGTAAGAAATAACATAAAATATACTACTTGAGGACTTTCAACAGCAGCAACAGCAAAAACGGATAGCACATGTAATCCGGAGATAAAATAATGAGACAATGAAGATGATGATATTCCACACTATTTCAAAGAAAAAAAATTAGAAATAAATCCCCGTCGATGATAGAAAATGCGATAACAGTTAGTGGACTTTAAGAACCTATTTTCTCGAAAATTTGTTTTAATAGGAAGATTTCGTACATTTCAACCGAGAGCGGCGCTAGCACTTAGATCATTGAATGCCAAATGTTTTCATATTAAGAAATAGTTAACATTATCGGTACCATTCCAGTTTCTATTTATTGCATGTCCTCGTCGTTCCTTTCATTTCTGATGTTTATTATCTTTATTCTTTCAAATTTAGTATTTTTCTTCTCCTAGGTTGGCTGCCATACAAGGTAAGAGAGCACAGTCTTCTTTGCTAACGGAAGATGGATTTATGCATATACACTCACCAGTCACAATGAATGGTTCTCTTCATTATCTATCTATCTATCTATCTATCTATCTATCTCTTTTCCTTATCTATCTATCTATCTTTCTATCTATCTATCTATCTATCTATCTATCTATCTATCTATCTATCAAATCCTTTTCATTATCTATCTATCTAATTCTTTTCATTATGTATGCATGTATGTATCTTAGTATATATATCTATCTAATCTAATTCTTTTCCTTATCTATCTATCTATCTATCTATCTATCTATCAAATCTTTTTCATTATCTATCTATCTATCTATCTATCTATCTATCTAACTATCTTCATTATCTATCTCTCTGTCACACCATCTATCTCTCTATCTAATTATGCCTATATCCTCACCAGTCACGATGAATGGTTCTCTTCATTTATATATCGATCTATCTATATATTTCGTCCTCTTCATATCTATCTATCTATCTATCTATCTATCTATCTATCTATCTCTATCTATCCTCTTCATATATATATATATATATATATATATATATATATATATATATTAAATATTCATAAATATATATATATATAATTATGTTCATTATTTATCTGTCACATTATGTATATATATATATATATATGTGTGTGTGTGTGTCTGTGTGTCTACTCTTTGATCTTTCTAAACCGTGCTTTCTACTTCGTACGTAGAATGTTACGCTTTTCTTTGTTATTTTGGAGATGAAAAAAAGAAAAAGAAAGAAGAAAATGAAAGCCCAAAGCAATAAAAATTCGAACATCAAAAAAAAATCGAAAGAAACCGATGAGGAACGAAGAATCACGAAGAAAAATCAAAATAGAAAATGAAAACGAAATCAAACATCAGCAAAAAAAAAAGAAAAAGCAAAAAAGAAAAAAATATTTAAGTTATGAATGAAACATTATAAATAATTTGCAATTCATAAAACGTTTCTAATTCTCATTATTGTCGAGTATAAAACACAGTGTTTGAAAAGAAGGTCCGTAACCTGCGGCTATCTTATTTTTACATTTCGATTTTATTCAATATTTTTGGACATTTATTTGGGTCAAATAACAAGAGAGTCTGCAGAATGCCGAACAAAACCCGTTTAACAGAAAACAAAACAGATGTCGTTATTTAAAATATAGTTGAATTTAAAATAGGATTTCTGAACCTCATTATATTTCAACAGGTAAAAAATGGCGTAGCGTTTTTATCTTCTCAATATGAAACAGAGTGTATGAAAAGGTAGATAAATAAACTTACTGCATTGGAAATTAAAAAAAAATTATTTGGAAAGTTTCTGATAGTTCAAGGAATTTAAAAAAAATGTTTTATATTCTCTTATTTCTTTCATTTTGAATTAAAAATATTTTTTTACGATTTAAATGAGAATAAACTGTTGATATTCTTAGCCAGTTAATCCATGTCTCTTCCGTTCATGACTGCCGTGACAAAAGATTCCTCGTGGTTGTTTGCCGTTTCTTATTACAGTAGACTGGTTGCCAACCGAAGCAATAGGCCCCAGTCTGTCCAACTATTCAACCCAAAGATTTAGCGAGAAATGATAGATTCATATTTTTGCGCGAAGATGGATGTAACGAACACGACCGGAATTTAAACTCCGCTTTTCGATTTCTCATTCCGAGCCGCTATCCATTACACTAGGCCACACTTCTCACATTGTTATATATATATATATATATATATATATATATATATAAATTATTTATATTAATAAATGAAAAATCTTTTACTTCTATAGAAATTGCTTTGTTTACTTTAGGTTACGAGAGTGAAAATTGTTTTATTATATATATATATATATATATATATATATATATATATATATATTTTTTCTTGCTTTCTTGCAAGTTTTTTAATATTTGGGTCTAAACTGTTGAAATAAGTTTTTGTCGACCGCTTTCGGTTATCGTCAACCATCGTCATGACGTATGTTTTGATTTGAAAAAAATGTTTTATTATTTTAGTTTTATAGATAATATTTTGGGTACTTAGATGATATTGTTGGATTAGTTCCTTATTAATAAGAAGGAGGTTGGTATTTATTATTTGGAGGATTAGTTATTAAATACGTTTAAGATGTTTCTGCCAGAATTAAATGCTATTTTGTTTATATTGGGCTTTTGGTTTTTAATTAGAATTACTTCAAGAATTTGTAGTCGTTTTTTGTTTTTTTTTGTTTTTGCAATTGTTTTTATAGAGGATTTTGGTGTTGTTAATTAAGATCTTAATTATTATTTACTTTTTCAATATTTCCAATATTTTTTGTGTCAGGGGTCGGGGGTTTCCGTTTAGTATTTATAAATAAAGCTTCTCATAACTGAGTACTTTCGACTAACAACACTAGCAGTCTAGCTGAAATCTTTTCAGCTGTATTGTCGAACTCTCTGCCTTCGGGCAGAGAGAAACCCGGACGAGGCTATGCCGAAGGGCAAAGTGTCGTTCGGGGAGGTAGACACACCCGAACCCATTTATGATTTTTTGTCCGAGCCTACGGGCTCGGGAACCCCTCATTAAATTCGGCCTTGTGCCACATGTGACTGTGTGGGACAGTTGCTAGATACTCTAACAACACTAGCCATTTTCAATGACGTTTGTTGTTTGTTGTCAGTTTAATTTTTTTAATATTGCCTTTTAACGCGTCTCGGCCATTCAACGCTTGATTTCTTGCCTTCTATTTTTTTTTTTTTTTTATTAATGGCTGTCCGAGGTTTGGTGTCGTTTTGTTGATCTTTAGTTGGTTGCATTTTATTCTCAATAAATAATATTGATATTTCTCTGTCCTATCTGTTGAAGACGGGAGCCATTATGGCTCTCTACAGATTCCTGAATTTTACTGCTCGAAAGTGTGCATTTAATTATAAAAGAAGCAATTCGTAATAAAAAAAAAAAAAAAAACAGTTTTGAATCCCACCAGATGAGAAGAACAGTTTTCCATCGACGATTCTGTTTAAAAAAAAACGATGTTGGAAGCTATTTTAAATTTAGCTATCATTTTCTTTGCGTCAGATGAATGCATTTTTTTCTTTTCCTTTTTCTTTTGTTATTAGGTTGGTGCAAAAAACGACCTTATTTTTGCACCAACCTAATACTACCTCAAGTGTATTTTTAACAATAATTTCTCAGTAAAGTTTAACCTTCGTGACTGCAAAAAAAAAATGTTTTTCTGTTCACACTGCTATTCCGTTATACTACCGAGACTCCCTCGGAAATATTTATTTACAAGATTATAAAAATATGTGAACTCAGTACGATGCGATATTTATTATTTACCATTTTATAAAGATTTATTATTTATCATTGTAGAAAGAACTTAATTTGCGGGTGACGTAATGGAGAATGTCTCGGGATTGTTAATCGGGGAGCCGAGTTCCAGTTCACTTTCACGCAAATACCCTTGGGAAAGGTATGAATCCACTTCCCTCCACCCCCAGTTATGGGTTAATCAGTAAAATTGTATCACTAAACCATTATCATCTCCCAAAAGTTCTTACACTCTAAGCTATATATATATATATATATATATATATATATATATATATATATATATATATAGTGCAACCTAGGTTCTTGAACGTCTCACATGTCGAACAAATCGGGTTTCTCGGTTATCGAACAAAATTTCGGTTCTCGAACAACACTGCCGAACCGAGTTAACCCGAACGGAATAATTTCTGAGTCCACCGCCGTAATGTATACATTCGAGTGGTTGTGCTGTACTGTTCTTTTCCAATTTTATTGGACTGTGACTCTTATTCTCTACATTAATTCCTATTGGAAAAATAGTTTCGGTTTACGAACATTTCGGGTTACAAACGGCCTTCAGGAACGAATTAAATTCGTTAACCGAGGTTCCACTGTAATTAATGCTGAGATTAACACCAAGTGGGGATACTCTGTTTCTTGCTTGAACGCAATCTTCAGGCCATGTGTGTTTTGGTTCGACTATTTACATATGCTCGTTAATGGTGCATTATGAGTAGCAAGGACTATTGTATTATCTTGACGGTTATTGGATAGGCGGCTAAAGTTGTTTTTAATTATTGTGGAGGATACTGAGTATTGAATAATTGCGGATGCGTATACGGGTATTTGTAGCGATTTCATAGTATTTTTGTTACTTTTTTACTCATTACTAATTACTGAATACTTAATTACTTTTTGCTGATTTTATTATTATTATTATTATTATTTACTTGTGTTTATGTGTGCATTAGTAGTTTTTAATTTATCTATTTATAATTTTTGTTTATTTTTTCTGAGGTTATTTATATTATTCGTTTAGTTTAAAGTATTGGCTTTGTCTAAAGTAAGTCACATTATCTAAGTTGTATATAGTGCAAATATTTGCATTTCTTATGATCGTATTTTACAAGATGTTTGTCTGAGATAAGTTCTGATCGTTTATTTACTAATTTGTGTTGGTCAGTGAAGGTGATTATAGTTATTTTTCCTTCTTATACAGTTTACAGTTTTGGGATTTATTGTTGTAGGTTGATGCTGTTTTCCTTATTTTCTATGATATTTTTGGTGTAATTTGATTTTTGTTTTTAATCTCCCAGATATGTTTAGGAAGATTTTGTTGTTCGTGCATTTACTATTTGTAAATGATGTTTTGTGTGCGCAGTTTCTCTTTTTCCGTTATCCTTCAGTTACTTTATATATATATATATATATATATATATATATATATATATATATATATATATATATGATTTGATGATTTTGCAGTGGCTTGGTATATTATAATATTTGGCAAGCAATTGCCACTTAAGGGACATTTGTTCTTTGCTCTGCAGTTACATGTGTGTCTGTTTTTTGTGGGTGTTTTATGGTTATTTTTCTGTTGTGATTTTATTTATTATTTGTGTCATGTTCTCCGTGCAACTGTAGCTAATTTTTGCTGTGTTTCTGTTAAATATCTTGCAGAGAGTGCTTGATGGAGGAAGTGTTTGCGTATGAGTGCAAATCATATTTTTCCTACCTTTGTTTTCACGTTTTTTTTTTGCTTTTGTTTTTTGTTTTTTATTTGTAGGGGTACGGTGAGTTAAACCATATGATATTTCTTTTCCTGTTGGCGTTTTTATGCAATGTGGTGTGTATGTGAATGTGGCCAAAAATCTGCTATCTTTTAGGGCCGTTTCATCATTATTTTTACTTGGTTGAAGATTGTTTCATCAGAAGAATTGTCAGACAGCTTGA